CAAATCGGGAGAGCAAAGCAACATTTCAATTAATTGAATTAACTTTGTCATGTTACAAAACACATATGATCAACCATACAATGATCTTGAAGGACTAGAACCATGCAATACAGCATTTGCAAAGCAAACCAACCAAATGTGCAGAATCACGTTCATCCCTACTAAAATAATGAAAACACTAAATCAATCCCTCACTCCCACAGCAGCTGAGGAGAAACCATTTCTTATTTTTCTCTGTCCATCTCGTCCCATAATCTTGCCCCCAAAGTTTCAATCTAATCCAAACAATTGCTGCATCATACCTCCTGCATTTAAAGCAACAATATCATTTGCAGTGCACAAACAATTAAAAAAACAAATGATCAGCAGCATTGACACAGAACATGATGAGGCATTTTCAAAATCATTTTTATAAAGCTTTTTTCCCATATGTTCAAGAATGTGCCATTAGCTGAATTTCACCGAAAGGTCGTAATTTGAGGAATGACCAAATTGAATATCAAAGACTAGGGGTTGGTTATCCATCATCAACATTTGATTGAATACTAGATCTGTAAAATTATAAAATAATCAAGAAGTTTTAGGTAGAAACAACATAACTTAATAAACTAGTAAATTAAAACAAATATAAACATATTGAAATCGAAGAAAATAATGGAAGAGAATACTGTGGCCTTCCATTGCTAATGAGTTAGAACGCACAGTCACTTTTGGTCAAAAAAAAAAAAGCACCATCATCGATTCCTCATTCAACTTACCACAGACACTAATGGTCCTAATCTTGTGGCCTTCAATCCTTCAACGACAATATCCTGCGGATAATTTAGGAAGGGATTGGCGTGAGGTTGGATTGGAAAAAGAATAGAGGAGAGGAAGAGAAGGGAACCTTTGGGCTGACGTAGTTATCGGCAAAGGCGAGACCGACAACCAATTCCCTAAGTAATCGACGGCGAGTGCGTTGAGCGGCAGAGCTCCATGGACGAAGAAGAGTGTTGGCTGCAGCGGCGGAGCTTCACGGACGAAGAAAAGCGTTGGCTGCAGTGTGGAGGTTAGGGTTCTTCGATGGAAATTTTGAAATTTCTTGATGGAGGTTGAAATCGCCGAGTCTTTCCCTGTAACGTCAAGATCTCATTTCACTTTTATTTTTTATCTTAAATATAAGACTCTAATTTATTTTATCTCTCATATTTATGTATTTTTTTAAAATAGTCTTTTTAATAATGATAGTTCTAAACAATACGCTTAATTAATAAGAGTATTTTAAAAAAGATAATACGTATATTTTAATTGAAACTTATTTACTCAATAATGTTGTGAGTTGATATATTCTGATCGGTCAGATCACAAATGAGGCGGTGCAGGCGTATGCAAGAATTTATTTTTTTTTCCGGACCAAGCATGCAAGAATTTATTGATAATATAATATTGTAAATATTTATTTACCTATGGTGTTGAATTATTATTTGGAAGAGCGCAGATGTACTCGCCATTGACATTGATGTACTCTCGCACTGGGGTGGAGATAATCTATCATAAGTATATAATCACGTCATTCTTGCTCCCTAGCACTCTTTTTTTTATTTTAAAGAAAAAAATATTTTGATGTAATTATTTCTCTTTTCCTTGAAGAACTCGTCCGAGAACCTTTTTTCTTTAATCAAGATTTACTATCTTACTAAAGTCCTTCTCATCAGTTGGACCCAAAAAAAAAAAGTCCTTCTCATTAGAACATTAGAATTTTATTGCACAAAAATGAATTGCGTACTCTCTCTCCCTCTCTCCCTACACACCCGTTATTCATAATCAACATAACAATATCATTTATTATATTTTGAGAAAATTACACACAGGTCTTATAGAAGACAATTAATTCTGAAAAAGTCTCTCGAAATCCCCAAAGCTTCCTTGGTCCCCAAGGACTTCAAAGCAAAAAGTTAAAATTGTGAAATTACTTATTTGCCCTCATTGATGGAAAAGGTTGTGATTAGCTACTGTGTAGGTTGTGACTATATGCTGTGCATATTGTCATTAGGTTGTGATTGATTTCTGTGCATATTGTGAATGGCTCAAATGTAGGTTGTGATTAGCTGCTGTGTAGGTTGTGGCTGTAACTGTGCATGTTGTCATTCGGTGAGGGCAAGTAGGTAATTCCACAATTTAAATTTTTTGCCCTGAGGTCCCTGGGGACTTATGAAGCATTTGGAGATTTTTAGGGACTTTTTCAAAATTAATTGTCTTTTATGGGACCTGCATGTAATTTTCCCTTATATTTTCTATTTCAGTATGCTCAAATAGATGATACTCCTCCTGTTCTTAATATATAACCTAATTGTTGAGTTAATTTTGGTCCTAAATATAAGACTTATTTCTCATATTTATAATTTTTTTTTTCTAAATTACCCTTGTGAATTTCCCTCAACCATAATCAAGTAGAAGAGGGAGAGAGGATATTAAGGAAGATGGTTATGATATTTTAGGAAAAACATGTCATATTCCTTATAATTAACTTCTTTAATCTAATCAAATTAATTAAATAGATCTTATATTAAGGATCGGAGGAGTACTACCAAAATAAGATTTACCAAAAGGTAAGTAACTAGTACTCATCTGATTCTAAATATAAGCCTCATTTTATAGTGTAAATTATATTATAAAATGGTTCTTATATTTTGAACTAAAGAAAATAATAAATTAAAATTTATTTAATAAATACTATTTCTGATTTTTTTTGAAAATATTTCTAACTATTTTTAATGAATTAGATTAAGGGGACTTTTTTTGTGGAAGAAAATTTATGACATTAACTCTTAACTAGTAACTATAAATATAAATGTGATGAGGAAAGGACTCTCTCTCTCTCTCTCTCACCTTAAAAAGATCTGACATGGGGACCAGACACAGTTATTTCGACTTATGAACGTTCAAATGAAGATCACACAAGGCTTATAGATTAAGCCATGTGTTACAAAAAATTAAACGGAAAAGAAAAGAAAAAGGTCAAAATATTATCATGTAAAAAAGTTTCAAATAAATATATCACAAGACGAGGATCCTATACAGGTGCTGAAAGTGACATTAACAAGTCCGTGTTTACTCTTTTACCCTGAAAGCCTTTTTGGCTGTGGATTTGTCTAATTATTTTTTTTTTGGCACCTATATAAGAAGGAGGATTGAGATGACGAGAAGGAAGATAGAAATAAAGAAGATCAAGAACGTAGCTGCGAGGCGGGTGGCTTTCTCAAAGAGAAGGAAAGGTCTATTCAAGAAGGCCATGGAGCGGTCAACTCCTTGTGACATGGTTATAAGAGCAGACTAATGATGTTTAGGCAGCTTGCAGGCTCTATGTGCCACCGACCCCGCTAATGTCAATGTTTAAGTACATTCACATCCGCTCTCTCAAATAATAACCTTGTACTACTTATAAAAGTATTTTCTTTATTAAAATATACTTTTTCAATTATTAAAAATATTTTATATACATATAGGTAAGTGTAATTCGCCCATATAAAGTGTTCAGGGAGGAATGGAAGATTATCATTAAAATTATTTCTTGGAAAGGTTAATGCAAACTAAAAATATTTACATTGTAAATTTGAACATTTGAAATTTTGAATAGTCAATATAGGTGTCAATTGAAAGTTGAATTTAGGGAGAATTTTACTTAAGGGCAAATTTGCCTATATACTGCAAATAATAAAAAAAGAAAATACCAAAATCCTATAAAATGAAAAGTATTTACTAAAATATTACACTGGTTTTGGTCCCTCAAATTTCTTTTCATTTAAAATATTAGTCTCTATAATACAATAAAAACATGGACCTTTCTCTTTAGTATTTATACATTTTAAAAAAAAATGCATTTGCATGAGAGATAAAGAAAAAAATAATTACCATGATAATTTTGTGATAATTTCTCTTGAATAAATTGGAAAATTTGCCTTTTGATGATATTCTTCTAATACTACACCATCTTAATGTCTCGGATCTCTGCTTATTTGGTTGTGAAGAAGAAGAATCTTTACTACATATTTTTTGTTAACTGCCCTTTTTCTCCAGTTGTTTGTTTTGGGATATTATCTGTCAAAATTTCTTATGATTTCTTTGATAATATGAGATCTTGGATTAAGATCACTTTGAACAACCCATGTCAAGATAGTCACTAGAAATTACTCATCAAATTATATGTCTACTCAACGTGATCTGAAATAATTCCTTTCATGCTTAACTGGGGAAAAAAATGAGGAGAAGGCATAAACCAAAGTTCTCATAGTTAACAAGCTTACCCTTTACTTTCCCTTTATAAAACTAAGCCAGAAAGATTTATGACGGCCAACTATGTAAAACGGGAAATAGAAGAAAAATGAAATAGAAGTAGTGGCTACAGGGAACACATCAATTTCCTTTGAAATGCCATTAACGCGGGAACTGCCAAAAAGCCTACAATATTCAAGAAATCTCTTACAATCTTCCAGGTAGGGTTCCATGTTTTCATGAGCTCCAGCTTAACTCTTCTTCTTTCTGAAAATGCTTTATCAATTGTTTTCTTTTTTGCCCCAGTAACTTGGTAGTTCGAGGTTCTTGGCCAAAAACATTATTTTTTTTTTTGGCTTTTCATTTTTCACATCCTTAAAGATGTATGAATTTCCGTTCATCCAATTTGGTCGCCCAGTTTGAAATTCTCATATAGTTCTACATATATTTCCTTTGGAATTGTTTTTAATTATTTCTTCTTTTAAGATCACTAATCTTTCTAGTTTAATATATTTAACAACAAAAGCATTATCCTTTTCTCTCTTCTCCCTGAATTGTCGGTTCTTGGAGGGATTCTCTCTGTCGTGTGAAAACCACTGGATCTACTGTCTGTATAGCCTCTCCATTGTTCAGTTCAAGTACAGTTTTCCACCCAATTCAACTTTGTTGTGTGCATGTGTGTTGGATTTTTCACTGTATAATTTGCCGTATATAATAACCTCGCGTTACTGATGATTCTGAGAAGGAGAAGGGAAATGACGAGAAGGAAGATACAGATGAAGAAAATTGACAGTGTAACAGCAAGACAAGTGACTTTCTCAAAGAGAAGGAAAGGTCTCTTCAAGAAGGCACAAGAACTCTTGACTCTTTGTGATGCTGAGATTGCCCTCTTAGTCTTCTCTTCTACTGGCACGCTCTTTGATTTTGCTAGCTCAAGGTTCTTATATTTTATATTATCAGTCTCAATTTCTTATACATACAAACATACATAAACTAGCATTTCTATAGATGTGAGAGAGAGAGAGAGATTTACATGATATCACAGTGGTCGATTCAAGAATGAAATATGAAACTGTACAAGTGCACAGCTCATTATCATTAACTGTCTATATTTAAACTCATTAAACTAGCTAGACAGCTTGGTAGTTGATAAACACTAGTTGGAACCTATATAATTCTTGTTGCATTTGTTACCTTAAAGATTATTATATGTGTATGTTTCAGTACTTCTGTTTCTGTTAGTAATTAATAACTTAAAAGGTCAACTGATGAGAAAGTAATTTCATAGACTTGAAGTAATGGAATCATGATTAATATCCACAGTTGAAGGTTGAGTTTTCCCATTGGGATTCTGAAAGAACTTCGTTACTCCATACAATTTGACATAAAACTGTTTATATATATCATTTATTTTCTTATAATTCTTTATATATATCATTTGTTTTTGCATAGAAGACCAAAATCAATCTATATTATCAGTATTAATTATATCACGATTAAATTTTATTGTTTAATGATTTAAATTCAAAATTCACTTCAATATTAGTTTGTGTTCATATAAACTCATTTTTCGGTTTTGAATTTCTATTATATATTATATCTTTCAATATATTGTACATATATCAGTTTGTATGAGAAAATTATTAATATTCTTATTATTTTTTTAATTATTATTAATAATCAAGAGGAATTGATTTTAATGAAATATAAACAAGTTTTCTAAGAAATTGTCTTCCTATTCTCAATATGTATTTAATGATGACATGAATGATGACAATACCTTCACTAACACAAACTCTACAAATATATCAATTTATTTTACAATTAAAAATATATTTAAATCATTATATTCTTACTTATGTTATTATATAAATTGTTGTAAGGTTACAATCTAAAATAATAAAATTTAAAATTAGCAACAAAATTGTGAAGGAATTAGTGATGAAAACTTCTGTGACAAACAATTTAGTGATAGAATTAGCAATGAAAATTTATGATAAAAAAATTCCATCACCAAATATTTATTGACGGATTTTTTGATGGATTAGTGACGGATAGAAATTTTGTCACTAATCCATTGCTAAATTTAGTGACGAAATTTTTATTGGTAATTTGTTAGGAATTAGTGACGGAATAATTTTTTGTCAGTAATGAGCTGTTTTTTTGTAGTGAAATAAAAAAATGTAAGAGAGAGAAAGAAAGACGAAACTTGTGACAATCTTCACTGGTAAGCTAACTAACGGGTTTGTCGAGAATGGATTGGAAGTTAGCAATGCCAGTGTTCATGGCTTCTAGATTCCGAAGACTGTGTGTGTCCAATTTTGGAGAAAATAAAGGGCGAAGAAGGGGAGGAGAGAGATGGAGAAATGAAAAGAAAAAGTGAGGGTGTGTGATAATGTGTGAGTAACGACAAAGTGAGTAGTGAGAAAGAAACAGGTGTATGTTTAGTGGGATTCACAAAAGAAAAAGTGATGGACGTTAAGGGTAGTCAACGAAAATAGCATTTTGGCCCCGTTTTGAAAAATTAATGAGTATTTTTACCCGTGACATTTTACTACAGTGCCTGGTGTGCCTGGTGTTTCTTTTTGATAGTATAATAGGTAAATTTTTTCGTTCATCCTATCTCTTAAAACTAACACACATTATTGAATTCATTCAAAACTAGATATTAGATATTTTTTTAAAGTTATTTTCTTTTTGAATCAAGGTATTTTTTTTCCCTCTAGGTATCAGTATTCTCCTATTAAAAATAATCATATTCAAAGCACTGTCTTCTAATGTTTAGTGTCTGCCAATACCCCAAATAGAATTGCTTCTAATAAGAAAATATCTGTACATCAAACATAATAAAATTTAATATATTTAGTCATCAACATTGGACACAAATATATGAATTGTCTGAGGGATTTTTAGAAAATAATATTTCGATATCTTATCCAAAAATTGTTAATAACTTTAATAGTTTTATACATACTTTAATACTTACTTTATTTACTATTAATTGTTAATATGATCTGACATCATTATCAATTAGAAAGAATTAGAATTAGTTTTTTTCCCCTTAAATGACGAAGTGTTCCCATCTTGTCATTTATCCACTTTCTTATCCAAATTTAAAAAAGTTGTTAAATTTTTAATTGATTTGAAAAATATTGTAACATTTCAATTAAATTAAAGAGAAATGAAGTTGCTATTAAAATTATAAAAATAAAATAAAAAATCATCTAATATTATTACTGCTGGTAGAGATGGTTTTGTGAAGAGTACAAGAAGAAGAGAGGAAAAAGAAAGTGGTGTACGATATGTTCAAAGTATGGGTAGCACTTTTCTTTAAGCTTAATTCGCCTCTACCTATTCTTATCTTATAGGATGCAAGTGGGGTTGATTGGCAAATTTCTTTCAGGATACAATGAAGACTCTTGAATATAGATTGCACTTCTAAGATTCAAGCGAATAAAACAATGGCCTTTACAAAGTGATAATTTGACTCTATCTCTACGTTCATTCAAAGACAAAAGCAGTGAGTTTGATCTTTGTGTTTGAATTGTGTTGTGTCCAAATGAAGTGATGGTAACGGGTTTATACAGACCATGGAATGATGCCTTGAAGAGATGCCTTTTGAAATAATACTTTATTAAATACAAGTCCCATATGTTGGTTCATGAACTAACATAATTTAAATAAATAAAATGTATTTAATATGTAGGGTTTTTTAGTATTATAACTACCTACATAGCTTTTCATATAAATTTATTAATTTATATGAAGACACAATTTCTCATATAAATATATTAATTTATGTGAGAATACAACTCTTCAAATAAATTTATTAATTTATATGAAGACATAACCCCTTATATAAATTTATTAATTTAATAAATTTACATAAGAACATGATGTTTCAAAAACACATCTTTTTATTTTAAAAATATTCCAACAATTACCAGGCAGATTATAATTTAATAGACAGCAAGAAAAGGGGAAGAGACCCCTCAATAAATGATATAAAATACCTAATTAAAGGTTTTGTTTTCCTTTGAGTTATTTGAGAGTTATCCAGCTTGAGTCATGAAGTTGCGAATATGAGTGATTTTCTTTTTTCAGGAAAGAATAAGAAAAAAGTATTTAATTTAAATCATAGTCTAATGGATTTAATGATTTTATGAATCTATTTGACATCATAATTCTATACATAGACAGAATTTTGAATTTTTCCAACCGTACAAGGAGAAAACTTCTTATATGTTTTCTAAGGGAGGTGTATTGTTTATCTGTCCCAATGAGCCGTTGCACTTATTAGGCAGCTTATTATTTAAACTTTTATTTTTCAAAATACATCCTATAGCACAGGAGGGATGAACAATGTGCTCAAAGAATAACCAAATACCTCCTCCCTCACTCCCTCCTCCAACACTCTAAAACAATTTTTCAATAACATATAGTATCTTAAAATAATTTTTGGTGTATCTATCACCATAATTAATATATATTTTTAATAACATTCAGTATCATAAGTGTAGAGAGTACTAGTTGCTATTAGAAAAATGCTTTAGGGACAAAATTGTACTAAAATTTATTTTAGAACATTAGGAGCTACTAAAAAAATACTTTAAAATGCTAAATGAATATAAAAAAATAGTTTTTGATACTAAATACCATAAAAAATACTTTAGAATACTAAATATAATTTAGCACAATTTATTTTTAGTAATTTTATATTATATAAAATAAATAGGTAAAGAAAATTTTGTATCAAAATATAATACTAAATGGCGAACACGTGTGCCCATGTATAAAGCTGCAATTAATGCAATCAATTTACCCACTGCAAGAGTTTCTTCTTTTTTTCCTCTTCTCTCTCTCTCTTTTTTTTTTTTTTTAATTTCGGGAAGCCTGTCTTTCATCCTTTTTTCAGTCAGCAGGTAACGACACTTCGCTCTCCTTCTCAAGAAGAAACCTCCCCTTCTCTCTGTATTTCTTCCTTAGATCTGCACTTATCCTTCCTAATCTATCCTATCCAAGCCTCAAACTCTTTTTATCGTGTTTTTCCACCTACACCCAATCCAAGTTCTCTTCATTTTATGCTTGTCTTTTTCGTTTAATACGCAGATAATATTCTTCTGCGTAATTAATTTTTGTATGAGACTGGATTAAATCTTTAGATTTACCTAATTCTTTCTCTTTGATTTAACTTGGTTTTAGTTTGAAGGAGAGATTGGCTGAAATGACGAGAAGGAAGATAGCAATAAAGAAGATCGAGAACGTAGCTGCGAGGCAGGTGGCTTTCTCAAAGAGAAGGAAAGGTCTATTCAAGAAGGCTATGGAGCTGTCAACTCTCTGTGATGCTGAGATTGCTCTCTTAGTATTTTCAGCTTCGGGCAAACTCTTTGATTATGCTAGTACAAGGTATCTTTTCTCTCTCTATATAATGTATGTGTGTGTTCTATCACTAGGAATCAGAATAATCTGAATTTTAATCACGTCTGGGATTTTCGTTTTTGTTTAGAGGGAAAGAAATCCTGATCTTTATTTGTTGATAAAGAAGCTGTGATAGCGTATGCTTTTATTCGTCTCATTTGTGCTCTCTTCTAAATTTGTCTATATAATCTCCTTCAGTTTTGATAGAGTGAGATTTCACATGAAATGGCTCTAAAAAGCGCAATAACTCAACCTAGAATCCAGATTATTAGCATACCAAGTTTGACCCATAATTCATTTTTCTATTCTTTTTTAAGTGTCAGCATTTATGTATCTCATCTGTTTGATCATCAATTACCATGTTCATGTTTCGGCGAAAATTACCTTCTGTTGTGCCAGTACAAGGTATCTTCTCTCTCTCTCTCTCTCTCTAATTGAAATGATTTAGGTTCAAGTTGCTTCCACACAGTACTTCTCTTGCTGTAAGAAGAAAACTTGAACTAGACGTGCTGACCAAAAAGTTGTGATATAGTCCTTTTGTGTGCTTTTATATATGTGTGTGTATCTGAGAATTAATCATGTGGGTATAATTGAAAATAATGAGTAATCTCATCATAACTGTGCTTTGCTTATACCTCTAACTTTTTACACAATGTCTTGAGGTTGCTGCTAAAATAGTTTGAACCCTGAAATCTTGATAGTCTTGGAAGAGACTATGGAATTTGTTCAACGTTCATGTGAATAATATGTACAATAATCAACGTTTAAAACTTAAAACAGTACAAAATAGTGGTTTGAAAATAACGAAAACGACACATATATGGAGGAATATTAGATTTCATGAAGCTGCTTCAGTTCCAGAGGCTTTTGTTAATGTCAAGATGTTATTTTTCCTCTGCAAAAAAATATGATCCTTTCCATAACGATCAATATAGTTATATCAATTATTTAAAATCTACAAGAAACTACGCTATTCACAAGTCAAGAATAATGTATTCGTCTTTGATTTCTCTTGGAAACAGGGAAAAAAAAAAAAAAGGCCCACAATACGCTGTTCAAGCGGTACTGCATGTCCTCTCTTCATCTCTAGGGAGATATAGGCTGTATATGAGATGGTTTTTATCTTAATATTTTTATTCAAAAATCACTTTCAATGGTGTTGGAAAATTGAATATATTTTTTACTATGTTGCTTTGAAAATGGAAAATATCAAAAAAGATTTAAATCTTCTAGTTTAATTTAAATGGTCTAGAGAAGTACAAATACGGCATACTTTTAAGAGGCAGGATGTTTTCTTTTTTTGGGCAATAGAGAACATCCCAAATTAACTTTTAGTTCATAATTTTTTTTCTTTGTATTTTTTATTGATTAATTAGGTGGATTAAAACAGTTCAAAGAGGATTATGAGAACATGCTACTAGAACAGTCGGGTCACTTTTGCTTTGAAGATACTAAAAGTTTTGTAAGGCTATCAGCTTATCACAGATTGCTCTTGACGTTTTCCTTATTGTCTTCATATTTTGATATCCATTAATGGCAATATTTAAATGTTATAATTTTGAATGAGTCTATCTAGAGTTAAGATTCGGTTAATTAAAACATGCTATTATATTACACATTATTGTCACATATATATCCCGAAATAAAACACCCATCTGTAATGTTTGGCCATGGAAGCCACTAAGAATAAATTCATTGGTATATATATGCATGACTGATTGGATACATAAGCAAATTTAATGCTGTATTTAAATTCACTTATTTTAACTATGACTTCCATTGTGCCCCTCCCCACAGCAAAAGTATGACTTCCATTAAAATTTAAATTCCATAAATAATTTTAATTCATCAAATGATAATTTATGCTATATAATTCGTTAGAAATAGTTTTAAAGTATGACTTCCGTTTTAATTTTCAATATTTTTGTTGTTTTAAGCGCGAGGCAAGTAATTGAAAGGAGAAACCTATACTCAGATGTGAACCTTGTGAAGTCATACCAGCCATCTCAAGAGCTACAGGTATAATTTTTCTTCTGCTCTCTACCCCTTCATCTATTGCTGTTTTGATTCATCTTTCTTTTTCCCATCTCTGTCTGTGTATCTGTATATAAAAAAATCTTACAAAATTTTTTTTGGTTATAAGACATTTTGATAGTTTCAATGAGCATTAAATATTTCTCCCCATATATGCCCATATTTAATAAGGATAGTGTGAGAGAATAAAAATTAGTATGATATTGGAATTTAGTGTGATTAATAAGGATAATATTAGAAATCTCTTAAATTTTATGACAAATTTAATGCTTTCAACTATGTTTATTAGTACTTGGAAATTAGTTAGAAATGTCTTATAATATGGATAGGGGGTACAATATACTTCCCTCACCCTAAATATTCGAGTTAGATAAGTAATTTACATATATTATGAAAATTAAATTAGTTATTTGTTAAAAAATGTGTGTTGGTTATCCTGAAGTATCCCCTCTAGTCACTGGCATTGGAAACTACACTCATTGATGAAAACTCCTTTTATTTGTGTAATTAGGATTGCCTCTACTAGGAGGATATTAATGCTTATAAAAATAGAGATAATTTCACGAAAAATTATAAATTTGGAATTAAAAGTGAGAGGTCTACTTCAATTAGAACCAAAAGAAACCTCTTAACTAATATTTAGGAAGTATATTATATTACTGCAATAAGTATTCAACAGTTACTCTTTTTTTATTCAAGGGTATGATGGACCATATACATACCTAATATGAAAATGCTTGGAGTATACTAAAACTTTTGTCATTGAATGTGGAAAGCATATGGTAATTGGATAGGTTGAAGGTGAATATTTTAAGCTAAACAAGGAAATAGAAGAGAAGACTCTTGAAATAAGGTATTACTATTACCATTAAATGGTGTTAAAGATTTTATTATGGGGGATGTACAATGTGTTTATTATAGATTCAAATATGTTGCTCTACATCTAATAATAGACAGCTCAATGGAGAAGATCTACAAGGACTGTCTGTAAAAGATCTGAGGAAGCTAGAAGATTTACTTAGCACAAGCTTGCATCGTATTTGAAAAGCAAAGGTTTGTCTTTTCCTTTTATGACAGTAATACAAAAATTGAAATATTTTATGATTTTTTTATCCCGTAAATTACAGTTATCAACTGTCAATTAAACAATGGCTTATTTGAGAAAGAGGAAAAATAACAAAAAAAATACCTGATGAATTTCAAAATGACAGCTAAGTGATTTTGATTGATTTTGACTTGCTAAAGTCATTACAAGAGTAGTCCAAACCATTACAAGAATAGTAACCATGGGCTATCTGTCTTTTTGAAATTCAACATGTTTTTTTTTCTGGTCGTTTTTCCTTTGAAATAACTGTCTTACATGCAGAGGCTTATTTGACAGTTATTCATCTTGTTTAGCTCATAATATTCGATTTGTCCCTTTTATAATGACAAAACTATATATTATATTTCAAATATTCATTGCGGCATAAAAAATAGGAAATGAATGAAATAAAAATTAGATAAGGTCAAGATCTCCCTATTCTTTTATCATTAGAAAGGTCAATTAAAGTCTCTTTATACTGCCACCTTTTTTTTCTTTGTTTTTTGGCTACCATGAGGCTACTTTTTTTTTTTTTTGGGGGGGGGGGGAGGGGCTACCATAAGGCTACCTTAATCCATGGTTCCAGCAAAGAATGTTAGTAATGATCTATAATTCTTTCCCCCTTTTGTGAACATAATTTTAAATCGCGGATCAAAAAGCAACTATATCCTCATAATAAAATGCATGATTTAAACATTTTCTCTTGTATTGTGTTTCAACTTTGCCTCTTGCTACAGGGATCGACGTAGCCTAAATAAATTCTAGTTTTAATGCTCTACATGTCCTTTAGTTATAGGAAATGATTTTTCCTGTTTGATGCTCATTTGACCCTTCAACTGTGTAAGATACAAATTAAAGAATGCTCACAATGACCGATTTAAGACACTAACTAACCTTATCCGCATTCCTTTTATAATTGATAATGAGCAGTCTCATAATCCTCATATCCTATATATCCAAATGGTACAGATATAGGAAAATCATTCATAGTCCTCTCAAATCTCTGTTCATAAATCATTTTATATATTTATAACTATAATTTACCGAATATGCCAAATATGACTTAGGTTGACCATTATAACTCCAATAAGAGAAACCTGATAAATCTAACCCAATTACGGGATGCTTTTCATCCCTTAATTATTCCAAACGTAACTGAATCATAATTGAATTAGATCCTCTTTATTCTTCTCAAAACTCATTGACAACTTGCCTGTCATTGTATGTTCCACTAACTTAGCCAAGGATGGGTTGACAAGATGGGATGATATTTTGGGGAAAATCCCAATAGGGAGGGAATACACATATATAATAACATAAAATGAATCACTATATAAAAGATGACATACATATTAATTAGATGATATCACAAACACCTAGAATTCATTATTAGAGAACCACTGCACTCTCCCCCTTGCCTATCCTGCTTTTTATGCCATAAAGACATCTCTTAGCCACAAGGCTTTCTTACTATACAGGCTCCGCCTTCAAGTTTCTTTACCACAAGGGTATAATTCTTTGCCAAAGAGGCAATATTTAACTATTCAAGGCTCTAACTTTGAGTGCAGATACACTTATCACATAAAATTACATAAAATAAACTAGGCACGCAAACAAGACAGACATATAAGAAGGGTAGGATTGCTATCTTGTGCAGAATTGACAATATCAAGGATTTTGCTGTGATTCCCATATTGGGGAGTCTTGCAAGTGTAGCGTGGTTTATAAGTTTAATGAGCTCTTTCTTCTAGTGTACTAGTCTTTTCTCTTTTGGTATTGAGCTCTCCTTTGGGCTTGTACTCATAAGAGATTTCATTACTATGTGTTTTACAACAACAAGTGTTCCAAATAAAGATTGTATCAATAATCTTATAAGCCTACACAAAAACTTTTCTATTTTCATGTCTTTTTTCCTACCTAACATCTTAGTACACCAGGGCTTCTCAAGAAAGAAATTCTTGAAGTTATTGATGCAAAATCCAAAATCTTGAAATCTTTAATTTTAGAAGAAGGAACTTACATTAAAATGGATGGGAGACTCGCCTCTTGTCTATTTGATATCCTTTATCCTAATCCAACTCCCTATCTCACAAGCTGCCTTAAATTTTGAATTTTCCATATATGGAGGGATTAGATCTTGTAGAATTAGAGGAGAGAAGTTTAGGTTAGTGATGTAGAGAGCTTTCTCAATTTTCATTTTGCTTTCTCCTTCCCTGCATCATAGTAAAGCTATCATTGCCTTGTTTTTTTTTTTTGGCCAAGCGGCAAAAGAAAATTAGGGTTTATAATGTGTAGGAGTTGCTCGATAAAAGGATTAATATTTTAAAATATTTTTTTATGAAGGGGTAAATATATCAATATACATCTTTTGTAGAAAGATATCGTTTAATCTCTTGTAAATCTCTTTCTTTCCCTTTTTATACATTCTAATAATGCTGAGGGGACTGTTTTGTACCATAGTCTTGAAGTTATATATTTCTGCCGCAACTTCTCCTTCACTATACATAATTAGGATAAAACCTCAAAACTATATATTTCTTTACAAGTTGGTCCCTACAAATTTTCATGTGAGTTCCTTTTAAATTATAGGATGTCACATTAACCTCGTCTTCTAACTCATCATTTAAAAAGCAGAATTTGAATCAAATTGATAACAGGTAACTGCAACTAAGAAACCAAAAATGAAACAACTCTCACAATTTCAAATTGAGCAGTTGGAGAAGTCTCCTCAAAATTCATACCTTGTTGTTAGTATCCCTTGAAAACAAATCGAGCTTTATACTCTTAAATGCTTCCATTAGTAAGGGCCGGGCCAAAAAAGCTATTTTTTAACATTTTCAAATTAAATATGTATAAGCCATAATGGTAATGTTCTTGTTCCAAAACCACATACCCTATAATGGTAATCCCTTTTAGTTAATATGGAGTTTTAGTGGCTATTAATGTCTCTTGATTCACATATACTCCTCTCTTAATGTTTTAAACATGCCATTCCCGGCGTAATTACTCCAAAGGCAATAAAATCCAAAGTTACACTTTAATGATTTTATGGGGTCCATTAGGTGTATGTTTATCCTAATGGCAAATTAGAACACATCTAATCCCACTTTCCTAATCTATATTCATAATCAAGATTCCCTTTGTCAAGGAAAACCCTAATCCTCCTAATGCATAATTAATATTGGCCAAGCAGCAACAAAACAAATACATGCGTGTTTGAACAAACAAAATTAACATTAAGCACAAATAATTGATTCAAACATGATCTGATCCAGTTCATAATAACTTCTCTATGTTAACAGAACATTAGTCATGTTAAATGAAAGAACAAGAGGAGTAGGATAGAGTAGAGCACAAGAGGAAGGAAGGAATACCTAGGAGAAAGAAGTCAAGGACACTACATTGTCAGCAGAGGAATAGGGAAGGATAAAACCACAAACAATTTACCCCGCATAGAACAACCAAGCTAAGTGAGACTTTGAGAGTTGAAGGGAGATTGAAGAGTTGAAGCTTGACAATGAGATCAGCAGGCAGTTGGTGTGAGGATGGAAGGACTGAAGCTCTCTTGGTCTCTAGTAGTTTAATAATTTAAAAACATATATTTAAGGGATGGCCTTTTAATTATTTGACCGAAATGGGCCCAACGTTTAGCCCATTTACTCATTTTGGGACCTAATTGTTAAGCCTGCTGGTCCTCAATTTAAAAGGGTTTAAATGTGTTGGGCTCTAACAGCTCTACCCCTCGGGACCTTATAACATTCTGGCCTTCATGAACATCTCACTCCCACGCATGTTGAGTTTTATGGATGGCTTGAATCTCCTCCGTCGTAGCACTTTGCCACTCAAATTTTTCTATTGCTTCTAAAGAAGTTGGGTGTTGGCGTTTGAAACATACACAGAAAAACTACAAAATGCATAAATCTGCTTTTAGTAAACATTTGAATTTTTTGGTGGTATTTCACTAGAGGATCTTAATGCTGAAGAACCGGTGATCTTGTGGTACTTCTTTCACCAGGTGAGGAAAATGAGAAAGAATATGGACTTGACAATGGAGGTTGGCGTTGCTTGCCTATTGTCAAACTCAGTCTATAGGGATTCAAATAAGAATGGCTCCCTTGTTAATATTCCATTCCCAACTAGCCTCTTCATTGGATACAATATTCCTGCTAACTATTACTTTAACACTTGTAAGATTATACAGATGACACGCTTTGGTTTGACTACTCTAGCCAATTTAAAATTTAGTTTTTTCCCCTATTTTTCGTCAATTCAAGAATGAAATTTAACCTAAACATATGCTAGCTAGACGACTAAGAATTGTAAGTGGCTTGCCTGAGGCTTCTTGCTTTTCCGAGCTTCATATGGGTTTGATTCAAAAAAGCATTTTTTGGAGAGATGATATGCAATGTTATTCACTATGTTATAAAAATTAGAATTTATTGATACTGTTTGCTGTTCACTATAACGTTGCCTCTTCTTTTTTTCATTTGTTTCTGTACTATTTAGCGATAGTAAACAGTTATGATGCGTTTGTTCTTTCTATCTGTTCTTCGATTCCATGGTATGGGTAAAACGCAGCTTGCAATATTTAGAACAGAGAGAAAATAATTCTCTATGTTTCAGGTCGAAGTATTTGAGCAGGAGATCAGTGTTCTAAAGAAAAAGGTTAGCGTTATGTTTGTTTATCAAAAGAATCCTATGCATTATATTCAGCCTTTTTCCTTAGTGTTATAATGAGAAAGTATTGATCAGAATTAATTCCTTCTAACTTAACCTTTTATTTTAGTAACTAATGCTGCCTTTGGAATTCTGAAGTTAGTAAACACAAGGGTAGAATGAAGAAAATGGTAATCATTTTTATCTTCAAATTTTATAATGACAGATAAATATAAACAAGAATTTTCTTAAAAAGTGACCATAAAAAAGGAATGGAGCGAGTAATTTCCGTGAGCCTTCAAATAAGCCCAAAGTTAATAGAGATTACAAAAAACCACAAACGACATGCCTCAAATTAAAGACACGTAAATTCAACATACATAAACTCGTACAGAACTAAAGCAGATTTTTTTTTTTAATTTTAAACACACAACTTTATCAAAAAGTCTATACTTACCAATGTCAACAACTTAAACACACACAAAAAATGAACTTAGCACATCTGATTAAGTTTAACCATAACTTTGAGTTTATATTTACAGCATTTAATGTCTTGTGGTAACATAATATGCAATGCAGTAATGTCTAAGGCGCTTCCTCCATCCCATATTTTAGTTATAGTAACATATTACATTAATAAAATATTTGTTAATCTTTGTAGCACGTTCGGAGTCTTCATTCATTTCTCATATTTGTTTTAATAATGCGTTTTAATTTTGATGTCAATAAAGGAAGACGGACTCAAGGAAGAAAACCAGAGGCTAAAGAAGGTTGTCAGATTCTTGTCACTAATTCTCCTGTCAATTAATTTCTGATTAATGGGTCTTCATAGTGATAATATAATGTCTCACTTTCCATGTTTTTAAACTTAATGCCAATCCAGTTCACCAAATCCATGGAAGAAAACCAGCGATTAGATCAGGTAATGAACAGGTTTCAGATTCTTATGGTCTTTGTTTTTGTCAGTACTGATCTGGGAATTGTAAATTGTATCGAACCGGGAAATGAAATTATGTGTTGATAGGCCCGATGGCTTGAGGATGAACAAGATCAGCCATCAGACGCGCCTCCCACAACAAGGTAAGTTGCTATAAACGCCACTGATGACACAGCTGTGTTTTATCTCCGGTTACTGTAGATTAGTTATTTTGCTCGCTCAAAAGTATTTTGTCCTAAATATAGAAGTTAGTTAAGAGCATGGTTTAGGTTTTAACTGTAAGTCCTAAATCCATTTTATTTTACAAATTGATAATTCTTTTTTAAACAATCATGTTGGTTGCAATACTAAAGGGCTTTTTATTTTTATTTGTTTATTGATGAAGGTAATTTTCAATGCAAATGAATGAATCTGGTGTTTTAGGTAAACTAACACATTTATTATAGATAACAAACCTCGTTAATCATTCTCAATAACTGTAAATTAATTATCTAGTACTTATATATATTTAAGATCATTTTATTAGATTATGCTTTGAATGCGCCAAGTGCTCTAGATAAGCTTCACTTTTTACAACTTGTTAGTACTCCAACTTCCTACATTTGCGTGTCTATGTACATTTGATATGATATTGTTAACCTCATTAATGTAGTAGTTGTCCATGACGATGAAGTTTTTAGTGTTAAGTCCTGTGGCTTACATGAATGATTTGCAATCCATGCGGGTGAGTTTAATTAGTCTAAAACTCTAGGCAATTAAGGTTATCAAGTTTCATTAATCGTTATTTTATCTACTGAATCGCAGGTTACTGTTTCCCTGAATGAAATTAAAGCTTCTGAAGGAACAAGCACAGTAGATCTTTTTGTTTTGTTTTTTTTTTTTTTTGAAGTTTTGTGAAAAACATTCTTGCCTGAAAAGCAGTGTTAGATTTTAAAATTTATGAATAGTGGTTGTACATTAATGTAAGTGTATAGCTGTGTGTAGTTGTTTCAACCTAGCTGTTCCTGGGCTGCAGTGAAGTGGTGGAACTGTGCTGTTTTTTATTATTATTCATGAAGAAAGTAAAAATAGTGGTAACCCATCCGATCAGTTAATGTTCATTATTTACTGTATAATTTAACTGCTCTTGACAATATATAAGAGGGATAATTATTATGAAGTTCCAAATAAGAAATATAATTACTAACAAGTTCTAGTAATAACAAAACAGGCTACAAATATACAACTTTTTTGACAACATACTTGAATTATCAGTTATATGTGAACACACACATATATTAGCTTTATACACTATAATTTTTATAAATAGCATGCGTATGATATTACTAAAATTTAGCACTAGTTTTATATAATAATTAATTAAAAATCATATATTATAATTCATTTTTTTGGCAAAAATATATATATTATTGTCACACCCCAACTTTAGAGGTGACCGGCACAGAATATGAGAGACCTCACACTCTTAAGCCTAAATATATGGATTGTTTAACTAATATATATATTTTTAGGATAAACATAAATAAAGGCATCCATTAAACAAAACATTCATATACTTAATCATGTGTGATACAAAATATAAAACTATTTGTAGAAATTTTCAACAGAGCCTCCACTATAATCTAGACTTCCTGAAAATTCTACAATAGACTGCTAAATCAAACAATACTTGGGGCTCAGTTCCCCAGCACCAGTATATATATAACTACAATCCAAAATAACCCAAAAGATGAGGACCTAGACATAGATTACGTGGAGCATCAAATTCTAAAAGTAAAGACATAAATGTACTTTTGAGTTTACATTAGCTAACAGTTACTCAAAATAAAGTCTCAAGTTCTGGATCTTCAATGAGGCTCTTTACTGCTCAGCTGGGAGTACAGGGTCAGTGGTACTGTCTGAAGTCAACAAAAGAATCTACCGGTGAATAACATCCCATTGATAATATTTAAAAAGGTAATAACAAATGAATGCAATAAGACTAAATTTTTACTTGGAATGACTATGTGGTAAAGAATTAAAGTTTCTACAGTACACAATCTTAAATTGAAAGATAAATGTATACTCAGGCTCATTAAACAGTTAAATCCAAATTTGTAATAAGACAGCTTGTTACACAAAAATATTATAAAATAACATTTCTTAAACACTAATACTTTTATAGGACTTCAACAGAACAGAATAGCAAGCGCAGCTTGAAGCCACGAATACAAGCGTGGACACATAGTCCACGAGGGTAAGTAACCAATCGAGCGCGGCCAATGCCACGAAACAAGCGCGGGAACGATGCCCACGAATATCCAACGAGCTCGAAATTACCATGGCGCGCCAAGGACTAACAGTGCTGCTGTTAGTGACCAGCGTTCTGTATCCAGACCTCTAAAAAAAATGTACAAGCATGCATGGGATTGAGTTCATTGCTAACAACAAGAGGGATATATATTTATATATTTTATTTCCACGAATGGAATCCTTTAAGGAATATTTTACAACAGATGATCCCAGCATGAAGATTTTCAAATAATATTTTCAAAACTCCTTTCCAAATTCCAAGTATAAATATTTATTAGAAACAAAAATGCAGATTAACAAATTGTAAGCAGAACTTTTAATCAACATATAACAAGATAAATATTCCTTCAAGTAATAAAACATTAAAACATTCAATAAGTGAGATTGGAAAAAAAATAATAAGATTTAAGTTAAATCACCTTGACAGACCATTTAAAGAAGCTAAATGTTTTTTTTTTTAAATAAGAATTTATGACCATGGGATGCTATTCACTCACCTGTTATGCTCCCAAAATATAACTCATTCCAATTAGCACATCCTTGGGTTATGGTCACTCCTCAATCCCCTAGTGTCCCGAAACAAAACATTATTAATACCCCATTTATAACTTGTATACATCTAAATCATTTATCAACAATCTCTTACAGCTCTAACAAGCCCATCCATGTCAAAAATATTCAAAGATTAGCATAATAGTTGGCAAGCATAACATATAAATTATAATTCACTTGTTTCTCAATAACAACATAAAACTCCAACCTTCAAGTTTTCTACCCACAAGAACAATCAACTCTTATTTCCTTCATGTATCTCCTGAAAGCCAAAGTTTAATCATAATTAATCCAAAATAATATCTATCTTGCTCTTTTCCATCAAAATGTTATATAAACACCTGTCAAGAAATTCTTTTGCTCATGTAGACATTTTTCAAACACCCCACGGGCACTCAATATTGTTTTGTGAAACAAGCATCCGCACCAAAAACTTTTTCAGGTTTCCTTCTTAACTAAATTCATCTCATAGACCAAAATAAACAGCACCCAATAATTTCAAGCTTCAAATAATAGTTGCAAGCAATCACCATGCATCACCCGTAAAAAAAATATAAAATCCTTCCTCCTCAATATGCTTCGTTTAAGACAACCCCCATAATCCTTGAAATCTCAAAACTTCCAGCAACCAAACCAATTAATACCCAAGCCAAAAATCACAAGATCCAAGAAGATAACATCCTACCCGTGACCACCCATACCCAAATTCTGCAGAAACGAATATGGAAAGAAAATTCGCATAGCCACCCAAAATCAACCAAAATCAGCCCCAAACGCACAACAAGAAGGGTAAAACTCACCTAAACTTACACCATACTCCTACATTGCAAGACAAACCAGAAAAAGGGGAGAAAGTGACTCCAAATGAAAGAGAAACACCCCAAACTCTAGCAATGTTCTGCAGCGAAAACAGAGGAGAAATAATCTGCAAGAATGCACGCCGGAGACTGTAAAGTGAACGGTGGAGGACAGAGGGAGATGCGACCGTTGAAGAAGAAAAGAAGGGTTAGGGATTCAGCTTTGAAAAACTTGTTCTACTCCTCCATTCTCTCGCTAAAATGAAGAGCATCGGGAGAGAAAGAAAAAAATCTGATACTTTTTTTTTTGTTTATTTATTTTATTTTTACTCTAAGGGTATTTAAGTAATTCAATAGTGCTGAAACAAAAATTAAATTACTCCAAAGACATGGCCCTAGTTCGAACCCAGAACCTCCAATGCCTTCAGCCACTTCCAAAGCCATTAAACCACATGATTTACTTGGTTGCAGCTACAACAGAAATAAAAAGAAACTATTAACCAATAATTTAGTATAATAAATTGTAAGATTGTTACAATTATAATTCATTTTTAGGTTCTCTTATTTTAGTGCCTTCCCTTTTTTGTTTGGTTTATACAATTCAAACACCACACTCACACACCCCCCATTATATCAACACTCAACTCAAACTCAAAACTTTATCTAAAGGTGACATTATTACCATTAAGGCAGTTAGCCATTGTTTTGACTCATTCCTTAAAGCCACTAATTATTAAATATTCGGATGCATATCTAACCCGTATTCTTTATAAAATAAAATAAAATAATTATACAACAATTGTTTTTACATTTTTGCTAGATTACTTTTTCTGATTACTAAGTGATAGGTTACATAGGGTATAATTTATAAATAGTAAAATTGGCCAAAAAATTTAATTAAATGATTGTGAGTTTAGATGTCAACCCCGTACATGTAGTAACATGATTGGGAACAGTCTATCGTTTGCCTTTAGTACTCAAAGTAAATTAAAAGAACACTCCAATGAAGCATCAACACTTCAAATTGTTTGATGTATTGGTATTGTATTATATCAGATAATCATACACAACAATACTTTATACTATCTCCTGTCTTTAATATAAAAGTTAGTTAGATATTTAATTTAATCTTAAATATAAGACATAAATCCACCTCATCTCACATGTTTGTCTTCTTTTTTTTTCCCCTTTCAAAGCAATCCTTATACTGATTGCATGTGTTAAAGAATTTATATTAAATGATAGTTCTAATACGCATGATTAATAATAATATTCTAGAAAAGATAACACTTATTTATTCTAAATAATTAATTTAATTAATTTTCTTAATATTCACACAGTTATAGGATCAAGGTAGCAGATATATACTATTGAAGTTGAAATACTTTTTAAGAAAAAAATTTAAAATTTTTTTATACATATCGAATGCTCCTAGAATCTTAGTGGATACTTCAAGACATTTTTATATAGAAATTAAATTCTGTTAAATATTATGATGTTAAAGCTTTTCATTTTATATAGGAGAGAAAAGAATGAACGGAAATGCATGGAATTAGCTGGCAAAAAAGGGAAATGCACGGAATTACTTTGACGGCGCTAGAAAATTTTAGAATACTATTATCTTTGCTTGCACATGACGTCAAGCAAGGGAAGAAGGGTTTAAAATAACTTATAAGCACATTTCATATAAAAAAACTTTTTTTATATATTTATCCCCTATTTCGTAAGTTATGATTAAAAAATTATTTATAAACTATTCCAAAAGGGTCTAAAAAAGATTGATATTACCTTCATTTTTTAATAGAAGAGCTAGATAACTAACTCACAAATATTAAGAAAATTAGTTAAGTTTATTATTTATAATAAATGCACCTTGATTTTTTTAAACTATCATTTTTAATCATGTACTCCTCAGGTCCTAAATATAAAACATATTTTGTAGTGTAAATTACATTACGAAATGGGTCTTATATATAGAATTAGAGGAGTATATTGGAATTACCTTTTGATAGGAACTCCTTAAGAATGTTTTGGAGGGAAAATTATAAATTTGAGAAACAAAATGAATTGAAGTTTTATATTTAGAATCAAATTTAAGCTCTCAACTAGTTCTTATATTAAATTATGTATTTTTTGGTATTCAATAGTAACAAAGGACCATATTCCAGTCTACGTTTGTTTGAATTCCAACTATATTTTTTGTTTGCTTTATAAATTTTTTCATGAATATATAAATGCCTCCTAGAAGTATCATATCTTATGCTCTTTAAGAAGTGAAAATGTCGACGTATTGGATATACTCCTCCGATCCTTAATAGAGAACCTAATTGTTAAGTTAATTTTAGTCCTAAATATAAGACATATTTCTCACATTTATCAATTTTTTCTAAATTACCCTTATGAATATTCTCTCAACCATAATTAAGTAAATGAGGGAGGAAGGATATTAAGAAAGATTATTATGGTGTTTTAGGAAAAAGATGTCATATTTCTTATAATTAATTAACTTACCTAACTTTCTTAATTTAATCAAATTAGTTAAATAGGTCTTATATTAAGGACTGGAGGAGTACATACATACAAATATTTATATGTATATCACTGTATATGCATCTGATTCATATATGGCATCTGTGTATCAGAAGTAAATATACACCTTGATTGTGTCTCCCCAAAAAATGAAGAAAAATTAGTTTAATGTTATATATATGGATTTTGATGATAATGTAAGAGGAATTCTTGGGTACTAGAGCACCACCTCATCTATGCTTTGGCCAATCAGAATATAACAAGTCACCACATTTTAATCTTATTAGTTGGCTGCCAGTTGGTCATATCTAATTGTTAAGCAATTAAGGTTTTAATTAAAATATAATTATAAGTTAAACTCGGAGGCTTTCAACTTGCATCTGAAGATTCCCATAGAAGAACCCTAATCTCTACATTCAACGATGATTTCCCTCTTCCTGGTGACTTGAGACGAAGCTTGAGCTCTTCCTGGTGGGTAAGTTAATCTATGCCTTCCTTTTTCTCTTAATTTTGATCAAACAAGAGGCTATTTATCCTCATCTTCCTCTTCCTGGTGACTGTCTTATAAATTAGAGACGAAGTTTGAGCTCTGAAAGCTGAAGGTCTCTTGATGATCCTCTTCTGATCGTGTTTTGCTTCGATCTGTGGCTGGTAATAAGCTGTGATTTATGGATACAAATAAGTAATGAAATCATTTTTGAAGCCCAGAACCCTAACTTGAAATCAATTTTCAGAGCTTTTAAGAACACTTTTACGGTCCCTGTGTCTTCAAATGAAAAATTTGAACCTTAAAAGTATTTTAGAATTCCTAACTAGAGTGTTGCAATCACCAGAGCCTATGTCGATAAAAATCATTTCATGATGAGATGTTTGTTATTTGACTTAATTGATAATGAATTGAGGTACAATAAGACAAATCCTACTATCATCAAGGCATTTGATTCAATTTATTTATTATTTTTCCAAGTATTTGTATTTTGCCGGTCCAAACTGCCGTTGAATATTTGAAGATTGTTATGGCCTTGAACAGTTGAACCAATATCATTGTTTATAACTTTATATCTTCTACAAGGCATCTTTATGGATGGTGAGTTTAGCTATATTTGTAATTTGAGCTACCTTGCTTTGTTTATGTTAAATCATTTTACTTGTAATAATTACTATGTTTGCTATAATTTCTATTCAACCTACACATATGGATTGTTTTTCATCTTGTACTTCAAGCACGTAAATTCCTCTTGCTTTTGAAAATACAAGGTGGGTTGTTCCAAAATATTATATGATGGGATTGTCACGGTTGTCAAGATTGATGATAATTATTTTCGGAAATTTTGTGATGTTTATTCTGTTTCTGACTCTTTGCAGAATTTGTAGGCCTAAATTCCGTTTGAGGGAGTTGTCTATGTAGATCATAAAGAAACTTACCTAGCTAGTGTTTGTATGGTTTTTTGGCTTGACAGGCTTTGCTTTTTCATTATAATTAACAATCAGTGTTAAACCTTCTTTTGGTTACCTCATCAAAATGTGGCATTGGCATTATGGTTTCGTATGGGCATGAAACTTCAAGGGAGGAGAATTATATGCATCATGGCAAGCTGGGTAGGTGAGGGGAGGACGTGGCCTTGCTGAAATCTTTCATTACAGGAGGCATAATGGCTAACAAAGTGATTTTGACGTGGAAAGCTTTTGAGAATTGAAGGGGATAATAACTTTAGTTTGACTTGAATGAGTTTGGTGCTGACTAGTTAGTTCGTTGGTATGGGTTGCCGCTATTTAGTATATGTAATTTGCTGTGCAAAAATGTTTCATGTATGTAATCTTTCAATTGAATGTTATTAATTTGGAGCAGTAACATGACAGTTGATTATTTCAATGGAATGCCTTTGGTTTGGTGTTCAGATAGTTGATTCTTCTTCCAAATAGTTATGCCAAAATGCATAACAAAGAGTTCCAAAAGTGAAGGGAATAACTATACAGAAATTCATCTCGTGTCAAATCGCGAGAGCAAAGCAACATTTCAATTAATTGAATTAACTCTGTCATGTTACAAAATACTTATGATCAACCATACAATGATGTTGAAGGACTAGAACCATGCAATACAGCATTTGCAAAGTAAACCAACGAAACACGTTCATCCCTACTAAAATAATGAAAACACTAAATCAATCCTTCGCTCCTACACCAGCTGAGGAGAAGCCTTGAACCATTTCGGTTATTTTTCTCTGTCCATCTCGTCCCATAATCTTGCCCCCAAAGTTTCAGTCTAATCCAAACAATTGCTGCATCATACCTCCTGTATTTAAAGCAACAATATCATTTGCAGTGCACAAACAATTAAAAAAAAAAATGATTAGCAGCATTGACACAGAACATGATGAGGCATTTTCCAAATCATTCTTATAAAGCTTTTTTCCCATATGTTCAAGAATGTGCCATTAGCTGAATTTCACCGAAAGGTCATAAATTGCGGAATGACCAAATTGAATATCAAAGACTAGAGGTTGGTTATCCATCATCACCATTTGATTGAATACTAGATCTGTAAAATTATAAAATAATCAAGAAGTTTTAGGTAGAAACAACATAACTTAATAAACTAGTAA